TCACACTTTATACCTGCTAGGATGCGGATATCTGCGAAAGCTCGTGAACGTGAGTCCACCTGCTTTCTGTGACTAATCTATCAGTCAAAGTCACGCGGCCGCAATCGTCCTCATACAATATTGAAATTTATTCCACATTATTTGATCCCGTAAAGGCACTGCGAAATAACACCGATTTTGGCATAGATAAATATTAGCAACGAGACAGCACAGTGCACATACACAGTGCTCTAACTCTCGTCGAAAATATTCCCAAAAGTCATAAATGAAAAATGTTCGCCGATGAAAAAGCCGGAATCTGTTAGGAAGTATATATACATACAGGGCCAACTCGAGATATATCCGCGGCACGTAGCTCGCGAGGTATACGACGACCCGAATCGTCTTACGCCGATATCTGCTGCAGAATTCATCGCCTCGCCCCCACACACATCTCACCAGCTGCTTATAAGCCGCCTCTATAGATCGATAGACGCGCGGCGTGGATAAGTGGCCTGCTGCTGCTGCTAAACCAGGCAAAAGGTCCCGTTACAGTCGCCGGCGAGCAAACCCTGCCGAGATATACTCGCCTAACGATAACGAACGTATATCAGTGGCGCGGTCGGCAGCGTTGTATATGAAGCTTATATAAGCGTCGCGATTCTCTCGCGAAAGAGAATCGGTTGACGACGGCCTGTTTTGTTTTTGAGATATGACCTTTAACGGTGAATGGATTCAAGCTTTTTTTTTATAACTTTAATGATCACATCTATATATAGGCTGTATACTGATTCTGATGCTGCTGCCCGTGTTCACCGTTAGTACAGACGACGCATATAAGACTTACCCTGCGAGGCGGATCCCGGCTTGGAAAATTTGATATGCGAAATAGGGGTGAGGTTTTTAAACGTTGTGTTTTAAAACCATTCTTGATCAAGATGACATTATAGTTACACAACGAACAAGCGGGACCACCACCCCACCACCACCAAGAGAAATGTCGCAGGTAGCATGCAAGCTGTTAGAAAGATCTGACACACATCCGCTTGCGCATGCGTATTATAAACGCATTTTGTGCGTACAGCAGTGGAACGATGTTTTTGTTTGAAAATTGGAAACCTTCGAAAAATAGTCTCCGTCATCAAAGGTAAACGCCGCTTGAAAATAGCTAGCATGCATTTGTGATTTAATAACTACTTGCAGTTGTTCCACTAGGGATTTGGAATTGGGTTTTGTATAGTAAATAACAAGTAGCCAGTCTACTCACCCAAGGTATGCGACCTGAGTAAATCTATAAAATATACGCGTTACGGTTTAAATAAAGAACAATAGCATATGTTATAAAACTGCTAGCACACGTACGTATTCTTAACGACATGAAGCACCTTTCTAAACAAGCTCATGATTTGGTAGCGTATGTTTATTTAAAAGAGTCATATTTATCAGCTAATGCTGAGCGATACGTAACAGCATATAATTAGCCTGGGTGTGCGTTTAACTGTCTCATCTTACGTTCGAGAGCATTTATGTTCGTATAGTCAATAAGCACCGGTAATGTAATTATCGGGAAAGCAAATATTTTTCAGCAGAACGTTATAATTGTTCGCTTTGATGTATATAAATATAAATGGAAATCACTTTGCAAATGGATGCTCTAATGCAAGTGCCTATTCCAAACCTGAACTTCTATACATACTGAATATTAATATTAAATATTATACAGAATCATTAAAGCAAATAATAATCCCTAATAAAAAAAAGTAATAAACGCTATTGTTTATTCGGTGACCGTTCATATTTTTGCAACGTTTCTACCTACCGCCGCAAGTATAGATGTGTCACGTATTTCGCGTACGCTGACTTAACTTTTCTAATATCTCTGATAAACCCTTGTCAGTCAAATAAGTAAATAAGACACCGTGAACAAAGAGGACCACGTGTGAGCATGAAATAACAAGATTTGCGCATGAAATACAAGTAAGTTTGCTGAAATAACAATGACCGACGGAACTTGTTAGCAACAAAACAGCTTTAATAGCTTTCCCGCAAATGCGACTTATCTTTCCGACGAAAGTCGCGCTCGTGTTTGCACAAGCGCCCGACCATTAATGGAAGCGAAATGCAAACATTCACCATGGCAGGACGAGTGTATCCACTCGAGCCGCCGCCCCCTCCTGCGTGTATCCTGTCTGCGAGTTCAATTATACATTTTAGGAATTCCGACTCTAGTGATACGCGTCGAGAAACATGAATAAAATATCACATTGGTCAACATATGCCCATTGTCGGCAAAGCACTTCTCTTCCGCAAGGATGGCGGCCGGCCCACGTGTCAATTGGGCCGCGATGCCTTTACATTAGAGTTGGGCTCTTAATGCGAATACAAGAAATTATATTGACTCGCTAAGTCGTTCTCGTGCGGCACTTTGAAAACCGCCGACTGCTACGCGAGACGTTATTTACGTCTTATGCACTTTATGTATTTATTTCTTTTTCCAGCAGCGCCACATTCTTCGTCCTTCGGATGGTTGGGTGGGCAGTCGGTCACTCGATCGGTCGGTCGGTCGGTTGTGTAGTTGGTTGGTCCGATAAAGTCATTGCGTTTTCGCATCATTTATGATAAAATTCATAGCCGCTTTGTATAATATGTAGATGCCCGTGTGAAACTACTCGCATAAAGACGTTATCGTGTCACGCTAAGTGCTAGTCACGTCGTTAGTGGTCGCACGCCATTATGCTGGCCAGTACTCGCGTGTATATAGCTGTTACCACCCATCGCGATGGAGATTGCGATGTTGCGCACACACATTTGACTGAACCACTCAGCGAGAAGCCTCAGATGCAATCTGCAGCAGTAACGCACATGCCGTTTTCTCCTGTCAATACAGCGGCTCTCATTTGGAGGGTATGCCATATATACGTTCCAAACAGAATTTTGCCAGTGGTCCTTTAGCTGCTCTTGCACGTAGAACAAAGCCGGCCTCGGCCATGCGCTGCTCGGCGAGGCGTTGACATAGATTGGTGTGTTTGGCGACTTCATTAATTCACATCGGAGACTAAATTACGAGCACAGCCAGAATAATGATGAACCTGAGATGTTCTGAAATTCAATCACTGCGGATGTGCGGATTTACGGGGTAAGCCAGTGGGGCACGACCACACGCAAAGCCAGCCTACTAATTCGCCATACACCACGGGTGCTTTAGGCGAGGTTGTGATAGCAACATATATACTGTCGACTAAAATTAATGGCGATGAGCGCTCGCAAACGAACGAGCCATCCAGAGCGGTTCTTTTCATGCACCACAGAGAGACTTGTCTGGCAGGTACTTATTTAATTTTCGTTAACATCCGGCGGTTAATTAATTAAATATAACAACGTCGTTGAATAATGAATTAATTAGCGACCTATATGTGTGCGCGTACATCTCCGCCATTTCAACGCAAACGTAAAAGAATATCGCCGATTTTCTTTATGTGTTAAGAACTGTATGTAATTCTGACAGAAGCAGACTATATATAATAAAACAACGGCAGAAACAACTCTATACGAAACACGTTCGCAAGATGGCTCATCAGAATACATATGATAATAAATACTCCATTGGATTTTGAAATTCATTAGGCGAAAATAAATCAGTAATCAATATATCATAATATATGAAATAATAAATTACCTTATATGTCTAAAGTATATATGTATATATATATATATATATATATATATAATATATATATATTTATTTATTTATTTATTACACATATATACTTATCAGTCCTAGTAGAATTCAGACTAGCATCCATAGCATTATTGTTGTGGAGTTAGTGTCTAATTGGTAAGACTAACTACGTGATCCGTGGCGGTAGGAGTATGCATATATGCATGTGCATATAATTATATTACCGTAAGTGACCGGACAGTATACCGTATTGATATCGATAATTTATACAATCACGTGCGAATGTTATAATAGGCCTCAGTCAATAACGCATATTCGCGCAAAGCTGGTTTCCTATTGCATTAAATGGATGGGTTACATGATCAAATCTAGGACACGTCGCATTTCGCGGAGTTGACACTGAAAATTAACTGCGCTCGCGATAAATAGAAACGCGATTGCATTTCGCGATGGTTTACATTACTGTTCGCCGCCACGTTAGTGACGCTACCATCTGACGCTTGGCAAACGGGGCTTCTCTATCATATATAAGCGCCAGCGTTCAACCGCCGAAAAACCGCTGCCGCACGATGCACGCGTGATGTCACTGTTGACTCAGAGAGCAAATATAACATTTCAAGATATGCCGTGTCTGTCGGCAAACATGCGCCTTTACAGAAATTGATACTGCTGGATCTAGGCGGGCTCGTTATTGCTGTGACAATATGTGCATTAAACTTGACGTCGTTGATGCCGACTTCGTCGCAGCGTGCCGGTGTGATCAGCACTGAATGCCAGCGTGAATATTGCTGTTGCCGTTTGAATGCAATTTATGCATAATATAGGTTTTTAATGATTACAGATGCGTCCCGTGAAAAGACGTGCAAACTCTTTCTTGACTTTTAATATATTTTTGATATTAAAGCCTCTGCAAGCAGGGCAATTTTCCTCAACAAACATTGCCCTCATTTAAATTCACAAAGAATCACCAAACACGCACTTTAGGACTCAAAATAGTTCACAAACAGCAAAGTAGCAAGCAGGATTTCGATTTATATTAGCGGTATCGATCGACAACATATGGTTAAATTCCAACTAGCACTCTGTAAACTAAGTGCAGAATTAAAAGTTTTCACTAAAAGCTTCAATGCGAAAACTAATTCTATTTACATTCTCGCGGCGATATACTGTTATGGTTATTAAGGGAAATTAGTAGTTGGTTAGTTTGTCGTCGCCGTACTCCCATTAACTTAATCTCTCGGAAAATGTAAGAGAAGTCGTGGGAAAAAATGCGAGTTCGCAAGAACAGCGCTTCAGTGCCGTTTTTTGTTATACCGGTAATTGTTTTTTGTTTTGTTTTCAGAGGCCAGTGCAGTGAATGTTACAGTGAACATATACCTAAGAACAATCAGCAAAATAGATGACGTCAGTATGGTAAGTAATTTCTCACGACAAAATATCGTGTGAATTTATTAGGTAAACCATTCTGTCCGTAATCGATATAATTAAATTTTGACGAGATTAAAATGTGAATTATATTGAACGCCATGTCATGTTATGCTACGCGAATTTGTGTTGCGTTATGATACATTAAGTTAGGTTACGTTGCCTTGCGATGCGGAGCATTGTGTCACGTCACGTCAAATCACGTCACGCCACGTTATGCCGCGTCATGTCACGGCATGTCACGTCATGTCACTGATGACACGACACGCTATTTCATTTAGTACAAGTTAGATTATGTTACATTATTTAAATTGTTAACTAATATATATGACGTATTTATATAGATCATTTAGCTTAGTTAGACTATCTTTACTAATACTTAATACGTTAATAAATTGTTCCTCGTTAATTTATTGATTCAGTCATTAATGCTTATAGCAAAAGAGAAGAAGCATTGTATGATGTGTGCACGAGAATGCACTGTAATATGTTGGCCGAAACCTTCCCTTTTTTATTCCGAACCTTATTACTGATATTATCTGTTCAATATAATCATCACAAGATAATTAGACACCCTCATCGTAATAATAAGAAACTTTGGCAACAGCAACACGTTAAGTATGCAATGAAGTATATATGTTAAATGCGTTTAGTTAAATATTGCGACATTCGAGTATACATATTCCATGATATATGAAGCTATATGATTATCTACAAATATTTTTTAAATGTATTATTAAAACATAAATAATATATAATAGTCTATATGAACTAGTATAGTGCACTGGGAAGACAATGCTGGCCGGGTTGTTTCCTAAACCGAAAACCCATTATACCAACATCCATGGCAGTAATGGGGCGGTCGTATGAGGGTTAACTGTTGAACTGTTTCGACCGCACACGCACGTATACGGGATTGTAGGCTCAGGCCGCAAAAAGCCCATAATTAAATTTCGCATGATTACCTTACTTCAAAATACACGTTTCAGCGATATATTTATTATATATACATATATATCAAGAGCTCATAATAGAGATGATTAGAGAGGTGAGCATATGTTTCTATGAAACAGAGTATCCGCGCGAGCCGAGTTCGTGCGTGACGTACACTGACGTCACGCGAATACTCTGTTTCATAGTAACATTATGCCGACCGATTAGAGATAGAGACTCTCTATTATGAGCTCTTGATATATATATATATATATTATAATATAATATATATATTTGTGTGTGTTTGCGTGCTGTGTTATATTATATATATATATATAAATCATATAGTATATAATAGCTCATAATTAGAGATGATCTTAAGATAGAGACTCTTCATATTATGAGCTCTTGATATTATATATTATATATATATATATATTATATATATATATAAATATAATTATATATTGTGTGCTGTGTGTGTGTGATGTGTGGTGCGTTGCGTGCGTGTGGTGCGTGCGTGCGTGCGTGCGTGTGCGTGCGCGTCGTGCCGGTGCGGTGTCGGTGCGCGTCACATGAATGATGGGATGGATAATATTGATGGATGCGATAGTATGGTATGGATGGATGAATGGATGGATGGATGGATTGGGATGGTATGCCGATGGATGGCATGGATTGATGGGATGGATGGATGGATGGATGGATGGATCGGATGGCATGGATGTGTGGATGGATGGATGGCATGGAATTGATGGATGACGGACCGGACGGCATGGATGCATGGATGGATGGATGATTGATGATGATGGATTTAGATATGGGAATGGATGATGGATGGATGGATGGATGGATGGATGGATGGATGGATGGATGATGGGATGCGATGATGGAAGGATGATATGAGGATGGAATGGATGATGATGGACTTATGGAATGGATGATTGATGGATGGATGATGAATGGATGGACGGATGCAAATGAAATGATGGATGGAATGGGACGTTATTTGCCTAGCTAATATCTTGTCCTCGCAAAGACGCGATTCAGCGCTTTGACGTCTGGCCCCACCTACTAGACCTCTGTGGCCTGATTCAGAGTTCATATAAACTCTTTGAATCCTGGTGTCGCTTTAGTATTTCGCGGGAGAAACAACTCGTTACCTTGCCATGTCATGTCAATTAATGAATCTAATCGTCTATTTAAACCTGAACACGGCTCCATTTAGAACGTTGTTGAAATATCAAGTTCGCTTGTAAATAAAAAATCATGCCGGTAATTGGATATTCTGAGAAGCGGCCGCAGCGCCACGCACAGAAATCGACTGTTATCAACTCAAACATGGGCAGAAAACCTGGGCGCTGCGTGCTGGAGTGTCTCCCTTTCATCTCGCTTTGGTGACTATCCTTAAATATTTCGACAGGCATGCTGCTTCAAATCTACACGTCTCTTCTCAGTGTTCGCGCCCATGGATACTTAACGACATGTGGAGCGATGTAGGTGACTGCAGCCCGACACCGTCATACTCGACGCGAGTGATGAAGAATCTTGACAGCAGTTAGACAAGATGTTCTGTGTGTGATTCCTAGAATATGAGAGAGAAGAGACGAGAGAGAGAGACGCAAAGAGAGAAAGAAGAGAGAGAGAGAGAGAGAGAGAGAGCGAGAGGGAGGGAAAGGGATGGAGAATGACACACACACACACACACACACACACACACACACACACACACACACATTCATTCATTCATGTAGACATAATGGACTGTGTGTGTGTTTGTGTTGCTTATAGTGATGTCGGAAGAAGGAAAATCATGCTGTCTGGTCGTGGTGTTCTGAGGATGACATCAGAAATGTATCTAGCCGAATCGATGTCATCATTTTGACATGAATCATAAACAGTCACATCGTTCGCCGTCGTTTTAATGTTGCCTATACAGGGGCTTTTGCGGCAATGAGTGTAGGCCTACCGACCGAGGCGGGCTTCCGGTCGCACGTTTACATGCTCGTAACGCGCCGCGACGTAAACGCTGTTTAGCCGTTTTTTTTTGGCGCTAGTGGATTTCCATTTACCCACGTAGTTACGTCAGGCTTTGATTTGTACTTGAGCGGCAGCGATATGGGGCGGGCATCTTTCTAATGTGCGACGTATACGGCAATTAGCATGATGTAGCCGGCTCGCATGAGATGCAAATTATGCTGTAATGGTAGCATATTGGACGGATAGCGATGGGCAGTTAGTTATGTTCGATTAAATATTATAAATTTTGTTTATCGCTAATCACCTAGGAACATATATATTACGCGTGTTACGGAATTTACACGTAAATGAAACATCATGTCTATTAGTACAGGTATTAACCTAATATAAACCACGGTTGGAATAATAAATGAAGACGCTTCACACGTATTACTTGTCGCCATTCTGCGTGTACGTGCATGCTTCCAAGCGCGCGGTTTTTGTAGATGGAGAAAGCAAGACGTGGGTGGGGGAGGAGTAGAAAGAAAAAATGGAGAGCGAGAAAGCGAGAACAAGTGGGATGAGACGTGATATTACCAGTAACTGTATGTTCAACAGCCTGTGTTTTTAAAACGAATCTCTTTATTGGTGTCATAATTTTGACATTATAATCCCTTCTAGTTATTACTATTACTATTATTATTATTATTATTATTATTATTTCCTTATCTATGTGAGACATAACAATTGTACTGTTTTCTATTGATATAATTCCACTAATACTTAGAAGGCAAATATGTGTGTTGGTTTATCACGTCGTTTACATTCTTATCATGAATACAGTTTTATTAAATAAAGTTTATAGAGTAGATGTAAACAATGCAACAACTGTCAACAAGTGAAAGCGCCGTGCAACAAACAATAATCCTGTATCTGAGTATCGCGACTGCAATGCAATTGATTCGCACTTCACATTACAGTCAGGGTCAGTGTCGGAGAGACATAGCATTGACTAGGAGGCGGGGTGTAGTGGGGGTTAGTAACAAGATTGCACAACTATCTAGGGGGGTGAGAGTTACTAATTGAAATTATACTGCATGTTAGGATACGGTATTAACGCATCGCCTTTACAAAATAGGTGTTATTACGTATCAAACAGCAGAGGCCGGGGACAGTGCATGTAACGAGAGAGTAAGGGCCCGTCACACACGGTTGTGGCGATACAGATCACTCCGCGTTTTTCCTAAACATTTTTTTCGAGCAAACGTCAATGTTCGGGCTGCGTTCGTTGATCGCAGCAGACGAGGGGCTGCGCATATCGCCGCCGGCTGCACACGGGCCGTGTCACCGCATATATCATTTATTACCGGTCTGCGTGTCTCGCTCCTCGAACACTGACGCTACTACACACACGCGACTAGCTAGAGCCAAGCGGCTAGCATTGTTTTGCTGTTCGCGTGAGACTTGAGTGAAGTGTTAATAATTTATATAAGCCGGATTCGTCGAAGCTGCTCACAGATGTTTTACCCAAACATGCGTCAATCAATACGGGGGCTTCAATGCGCGCTGCGTCGCAACTAACTTTGCGCCGAGCAGCGCGCGGGACAAATACCGATATGTGCTTTAGCGGGCGCCGCGCTCTAAGTAGTTTTCCTTGTAGTCAAAAAAGCGACATTTTACATCAGGTCGATACATGACATAGTAAAGCTACTTTGAAAAGCCCTCCTGGCTATGTTTGTGATGCAAGTGCTTCATAAATATTTGAGGGTTTCGAGTTGCTTCAGGATGTGCGCAATTTTTGATTTACGCGTTTAGTATTGATCCGCAAATGCGCGCGTATATTTGTTTAGATGGTTCACAATACGGGCCAGCTAATTCAGCGATGGCTTGAAAGGTTAATCACGAACAAACGCGCGCGTCGATCGCTAACAGTTTTCACATCGGTAGAGTCCATGATGCGTGAATTTTGTAGTCAATTTTGCGGAAGATTTTCTCTGGCTCTCTTCCTCTTCCTATTCTCGCGTTCCTCACGCCCTCTCCATCACCCAATCTTTCTCTTGGCCCATCTCTTTTACTCGTTCTGTCTTGCGCGCTATCTTCCGTTCTTTATCGTCAACGGTCTCTCTCTCTCTCTCTCTCTCTCTCTCTCTCTCTCTCTCTCTCTCTCTTTCTTTCACTCTTTCTCTTTCTATATTCACTCTCGCTTCTCTCATAAGGTCTCACCAATTTTTTTTTTCACTATTTATCCTCTCTTGAATTTAAATATCCTACTTCTATATATGCCTGAATTTTGTCTTCTCGTCCCCTCTATTTTCTTTTTTACCATTTACCATTCTTCCCAACATTCACTCTGGCTTTCTCTCAACCTCTCCTTCTTTCCTTTCAATATAATATTTTCCTTTTAATATAATTAACTGGAAATTCTTCTTATTTCTGTTTTCTTTATACCCCTTCTCCTGCTTTTTGTGTGCTTCCTTTTCTATTTTTTCCTGGCCGTATCGTATTACTCGCTGTCAACATTCACTTCTGTCTCTCTCTCTTTCTCTCTCTCTCTCTCTCTCTCTCTCTCTCTTTCTTTCTTTCTCTCTCTCTCTCTCTACCTTTCTATCTATCTCATTCCAAATCCGCCCACCCACCTGTTCGCCCGTCCGTATATCCATCCATTTATTAATCGATTGATTGATCCATCTATCTAGCCATCCATCCATCCATCCATCCATTTATTCATCCATATATATATATATATATATATATATATATAAAATATATTGTTGGATATCACAAGAGAGCTGTCGCTACTCATTGACGCGGCTATTCATAGTCGATTCGGTCACGTGCTCTTCAAGGCGAAGCCGTTACTGTGTGCCTTCTTGTAAACGCCTAGTGCGTGCCAGCATATAATATTATATGCATTAAAGATGGCAGATAAAGGTGATATCTATATCGGCTCCGTTGTCGTATCTCTGCTCGGTGGAAATCGTTATTTAAACAGAAACACAATTCTCTCATGCCAGTTTCCCTCATAGATCCGAATGGATCAGAATTCCGTGCTTGGTTCAAAGTATCGCTACCCCTAATGTCGCAATATATTAGAGAAAACCCTGTAAAACGTTTCGGGGACACGATAATCTGCAATCCAATTGTTTCCGCTGTGTCCGCTAAATTCACTATATAATATATTTTTAATGCGGGTTATGCTACTCGTCTAAATAACGTCGTATGAAATAAGCAGCTATAACAGGTTCGTTACAATGCCGAATTATATACCGATTTCAAACAACAGGGAATCTTATTAGTACATGCCTTTACAAAATCAAGTGTGATATCAAATCGGCTGCTCTTTTAATCTAAGTTCTTAAATTAAATATGTTTTAAACCTGCACCGGTCAGAAATCAGACGACCTCATATTTCGTGGCAGAGCTTTATTTATTCCGGACGTAAAATTCCCAATGTTACAAGAGCGCCGATAGAGAGATTCCCAACCAATCTTCTATTACACTTGCTTTCTCACGCAGGAATACAGCTGTCAGATCTCGTTTCGCGAACAGTGGCAAGATAATCGACTGACTTATAACGACAGCTATTTCAAGTACGTCAACCTGCCGGATCCTGAACGAATATGGCGGCCGGATTTGTTTTTCTCCAATGAGAAGCAGGGTCACTTCCACGATATCGTCATGCCGAATGTACTGCTGCGCCTGTACCCGGATGGACGCATTCTGTACAGTGTAAGGTAAGAGTCGCGTCTAATATGGCGCTGCATCAATCGGTGAAGCATTCTCGCGCGACAGCATTTGGCGCCACGAGCGCATAACATTCTGAAACACGCGATTTTATATCTCGTACATAGAATGTTGAGAACCAGTGCTAGAGTCGTGTAGTTAAACAAATTAATTTTCTTAGCCTTGCAGGTTCCTTGCGTTTCTTTCCATAGAAAAAGCCTTGTTAGCATTTTACATCGCAATGTCAGACGTAAACGGTAGCTTTCACAGCGTCACGCTCAAATACAAGCTCATACCAAATTTGAAGTAAATCAATTGTCAACAACTTTACGGTGACAGCGCGACTATGAGACACTTTAAGAAAGGCTTTGTATTCAAGCTTATCTTGCTGAATTATGCATTTGCGTATTGACTCGATGCGTGAAACTACGAATTTGAAATTGCTATTGATGACGCGAGCTATATACCCGTGTCGTATTTGCTCATATGGAGTACATAAAGGAAATTGCGAGCGCGCATGCAATATGACAGTCGTTAGCAGGCATGCGCGAGTACAGGAGCCGCTTCCGATATAGGCTCACTTTAACGATATAGACTGTCTATATGAGATGAGAAAGTAGGAATGCATTACAGGGGGTCTTCATGAATCCTGCTCCTAAAAGGAAAGCATCACATTAAAGTAACGGGCAAAACTAATTCATCTCAATCCAGAAGTGCCATCATATCCAGCGTTCATTATGTTATGCGGTGAAAAATGATGTTAGTGATTTTTTTTTGTCTTTGCAATAAATTCGTAATTCTCTCCCAACATTAAAGAATACGCCTCAAAACTAGCTCCGCTTATTAAAACTAATAAATATACCATAACCGCATAGCTACTCCGATATAATTGAAAAGATCTTTCGGTACCCACGACTACAGTATTCGTCACTGTAAGGACTAATACTTGGGTGAAAATATACGAGCTTCTTAACGCACCCTATCGTGTTTAAAAAATCATAATTAAGGTTTTATGTAATCAGTAGACGTTATGCGTTTACACGCGCAACCGTCCTGACTTGTTATTGTAAAGCGGTATATTAATGGTCTGTTGAGCGCTCGTATTCCGTCCTTGGATTTTGTTGGACCCGATACATGATTTCGATATGTGCGCGTTTTTATAATCCGACACTAATGAACAATATACTTGCATTTATAATTACGGATAATAACTTCAACCTAGAAATTGAATTTCATGCTTACATGCAGTGATAATAACATAAAATAGTGCCAATCAAATTGTATTTTTGCGCCATAATCAAAGCGACATAAAAATCTGTCTAATTTATGTGCTAATTTACTCATTTATACGATAGTGGTTTCATGGTGAAGGTATAAAAATACAACGTATTCGATGGCATAACCTATATATTATAGTTGCTAATTTTCATAAATATATATATAATAAGCAGTTTCAACAGCACCTCCCATTTTCCATGCCTGTGCTGATGTTTTCATTACACGTGCTTGATCGAGGAGTATGACCCGTACTGGGGACATAATAAGTAGTAATGATGGACCGAGGCAAGACTTCGGGTCGATAAGGATAGCAGGTGACGTGCCACAGAAAAGATAAACGAAATCTCGTATAGGGGATCTATCCTATCGGTCTGTTCGCACATAGTTACCAATACACGCGCACAAACACGCACGCGCGCACGCACACACGCTCGCACACACACACACACACACACACACACACACACACACACACACACACACACACACACACGGACGCATAATCATACTTGTAACCCGCATATGCATAAAACGTTCATATATATGCGCATTCACATGCTCGCGTGGGTGGACGTGGTGTCAGTGCAGCAGCCTCCCGTTATCTTCTCCGTAATGTACACCCGCCGTACATGTCACATCATGCGGAGCTGTTCGCTTTACATTATACATGATGATATTGGCCGACACGATTGTGCTACGTAAACGTATAGTAAGAAGATAGAAGCCGGGTGTTATCGCAAAGCTGCCATTATTTATATTATTATACAACTACGATGCACAACGCAATATATCATCTCGGTTGGATACCGACCGAAATGATGCAATTTTCGCTCTAGTGTGTGTACCCTACATTCGTAGTTGATCATTTTGGTCATAACCGTTTGAAGTGCGCAATATAATTTACGCTGTCTTGTAGCCGCGCCGCCCTCTCTTCCACACGCGCACGCACTCGCGCACGGACGCGCACCCCCCACATCTGTCCACACATCCCCATATGCATACACGCCCACACACACCTATACGCGCGCATCCCCCATCTGTCTACACATCCCCATATCACACACACACTCACACACACCTACGCGCACGTAGGCGTGTAAGCACGCATGCACGCACGCACGCAGAAACGCTCGCTCGCACAAACCCCACGCACACTATACGGAGTCATGTACACACACACACACACACACACACACACGCACGCACGCACGCACGCACGCACGCACGCACACACACACACACATGCACATACGCGTGGTAAACCCTGCTCAGTACCCTCTGGTCACTGCAAGTACTGGTCAACCCACTTACTGGTCATCTCTCTCGCGCGCGCGCGCGTGTACACCGATGATACGGCGCACGTGCCTGACCCCGCCACCACCTGTCGTTGCCACCATTGACCGCCGCTGCCGGAGGTCCACAATGCCGTGTGGATCGCTGCCGCTCAGAACAAATAAACACGCGCGACGGACACAGCAGCAACAGCGGTGCAGCGATCACTCACCACATGTTTTCTTACGCGTGGCCCCGTGTATATCCATTGTGTGCTGGAACAGTATTGATGGGGAAGGGGAGGGGACGGAGGGGCGAGCGAAGGTGTGATAGAGGAGGGAGGTTGAGAGGAAGGGAGAGCACGGTGAGAAAGAGAGGTGGACGAAGACTGAGAAGTGGGGAGGGACAGGACGAGTGAGCGTGGAAGAGAGAGAGAGAGAGGGCGAGAGCGCGCCCCCTCTCCCCCCTCTCTCTCTCTCTCTAGCTCTGTGTGAGTACGCGTGTGTGTGCGTGCGTGCGTGATTTTCAGTGGTGTACACATGTTTGTGTATGCGTGCGTGTGGATGTATGCATGCGTGTGTGTTGTTCACCCTCAATAACGACTCTGTGTTGTTCTTGTCTGACCTGAATGCTACGTACGCTAGACAAAATGCCTTTGATAAGCTTCTGTTGAGATACGCGCATGTTTGTACAAATTAGTAGCGCATTCAGGATGGCCAACGTCCGGTGGCTATAGACTGTATAATGAACTCACACTCGATCACGCACGCACACGCATCAACGCACACAAGCGCACACACACAAGCGCATATACACGTAGGCGCATACACACACGCACACTCACACTCACACACACATACACACACACACGCACACACACACACACACACACACACACACACACACACACACACACACGACAACACACACACATCAGCTAGAGAGAGAGCGGAGATAAGAAGAGACGAGAGAGAGAGAGAGAGACGAAGCAGACGAGAAGCCAGGAGAGAGAGAGCGAGCATACACACACTCCGCAGCGCGGACACACCCCACACACACACACAGCGCCGGCTGCGCACACACACCACAAACACAAGCTCACTCACTCACATGCGCGACGCACGCACGCACGCACACACCGCAACACACAAATCCACTGGCACAAACGTCAAAGCGCCGTTGAACACTGTCGTTTGCTACCCACCTTTCTCGTAGAACCGAGAGTAATAAAGTTACGTACGAACACAGTTATGTTTAGCCGCGTTGTGGCACACGTGCCTGACAGCATCTCCTCGCCGGAACGTTTATCACCAACGATATGGTGTCATCTGAAGACAACTATTGAAGCCAACATGGTTTCTAAGTCGGCGCGTACCAGAGAGCTTATTTAAAATGCCAATAACATAACCCACAGGACATTGACGTGAAAGGTGACAGAAACATATTCCGAGTTGGAATGTACTGCAGCGATTCAAGATGGTGAAGCATGGAATGATGAAAGGACTCTGATAGAGGGGCAAGACGGGGAATTCTTGTAGAACAACAATTTTAGTAGATTGCTACGATCGAAGTTTGGTCTATATACAGCTCTTTAATTTGCAATGTTGAAACTATTTAATTAGACAACTTGTAATAGTTTCACTTTTCTGGGTCTGCAAGGGGTAAAGTCAGAAATGTCAAATATGATAAATGACATAAAACATGATGGTTCTAAACTAAAATTATTACGTTGATTATTAAATTGGATTTGACTATACTGAGTCTGAATGATAAAGAAATAATAAAAAATGTTTTTTTTTTTAAAAAAAAAAAAAAAAAAAAAAAAAACTTTAACTGGATGCTACAATTTGGGAGCAATAATGTCGATTTGGAATTGTAAGGAATCGCCATATGATGTTCATTTTATATTAAAATAAAATACCTTTTGTCAATACCTTGTATGATGACGTTGTGAGTAATATTTTTATTTATTTATTCGCCGTATGCTTTATGATGAGAAAAACTATCAGGCTAATTTGTCTTGCGCATGATTTGAGACATCTTCTTCTTTTCTTCTTTTCATATTAGCTCCAGTGAAGGGTCCGCCTCATCAGGGGACTATACTTACTTATATAACACTCTATATACACTGTATATGAAAAATGAAAAGTGCGTGAGAGAATGCTTTATATAAGCGAATAATGTTGTATTCATCAATCAATGTGTTGTACATTCGAGATATTGTTGAAAGGATTCATTCTGCAAATTAACAACATGAAAAGAACGGGATAGAGAAGCAAAGCTGGGCCCGAGTGCCGCGAATCAGTGGTTCACCCTATCCAGCTAATCAGCAAGTACCGATCAACTGACTCCTTATCTCACTTCTGAGGCTAATCTATCTAAAGAATAAAGGCGGGGCGGCAGTTAGGCGTCTGGTGAGCACACCCCCCCACAAAACCACTGAATTATTCCTGGCAGTGCC